TTTTACTCTTGGTTTACAATTTCGTAGGTATTTTGATTCTGGCTGACAACTTCATAAATATTTTTGCCCCTTTATTAATTCACGTCAGCAAAAATTGACATGTGACATGCATAATCAGCATTTAACGATTAAAGTTAACAGCGTTAGGTCAAAGTTAATGGTCTGATTACGTTTGCACCCATCTATATAACGTTATGGATATTTTTACCTCTTTTCTCACTTTAGGATATTGGGTGTCTGTGACTGATCACTTTATAAGTATTTTTACTCTTTTATTCTTTTTTTTAATATATCATAACAATTTAGCCATGATAGGTAAGTTGCGATGATAAATTGTAATTGGCAGAGTGTGTACAATTATTTTCTTTAAAAGTTACATGACTCACATCACATAACCAATGAGAGTTTTTTTTAACAAAAGTTGCTAGTCTCTCTCAACATAATTAATTAAGGTTTGAATCCTCACTAATATTAGAAGAAGTACCTAAATTTAGTGTCTAGCAAAATCTCGAACAAGATTTCGTCCGATAGGAGAATACCTCTGCACAATAAAAAAGGTTACATTACATATAGGTAAAGAAATACTTAGGTAAATTAGGTGCGTGTGTCATTTGTGTTTATCTAATAAAAATATGACATTTATATAATATTAAATACAAATTGATTCTCATGTTAAAGGTAATACAGAGAGAAAATGCAAAAAAATTAAATGTACATTATGTTATAAAAATAAAATCAATTTAAAAAAGGCCATACAAAATTTTATTTACATTACTTGGGACATTTTAGTTAGATAGAGCACAAATGATGTGATACACTCAGCCTACCTAAGTGTTTTTCCATACAAGTATAACTCATGAGGATAATTTTATATTTTTTCATTCAAGGTTGTATACGGGATACATACATATATATATATATATATATATTGAAAAAAATTAGAGTTATAAATTTAAATTTCAGCACATGATCTGGATGAAAATTAATTTCAGAATCAAATTACAGTGAATAATTGCAACTTTTCCGGTGTAATTAAAATCTAACAATCACAGCAAAAAAAAAAAAAAATCCCAACAATGATTACTTTAGGAATTGGGACTGTTTTAGACTTAGAGAAGCATTCGCTTAATAATTACCTGAAAAACAGATAAATTCTTGAGGGCATAACGTTTAACCTTACCTTGTATAGTGTTTTCAATAATAACAAACGAAATTAACAATAATTACATTCTTAAAGGACAGAATAGTAAAACAGACTCCTTTAATTTACCTTCTACATAATTGTATTGTAAGTGTGCGTTAGGAATAGATACAACTATTCCTGGACTTGTCTTAATGATTGCTTACGTCAAATAAGAGATAAAGATGATTAATTTTAATGCAATAATACATATTCCCCTAATTCAATGATTTAGTTGATAAACTTCTTAAGAAAAAGGAAAAAAAAAAAAACGACTGATTGTACGCCTATAGTCTTCCCCAATATATATGTATATATCTATATATATATATATTTTTTTAAGAAGGATAGTCTTCCTCTATAATGTAAAGCTATCTGATTAATCAAATTTTGATGTTTATTTATCCCCAAAAAAAAATTATGTTTATTGTAAAACCATATTGGTGAAGAAATCAATTCTTCAATTTTTCGATCAAACTAATAAGATTTTCCTGTCTAGAACTTAGGCATCACAAGAAACGAACATTTGTGGAGCATGAAATAGATACAGGACCTCGTCTGATATTTTGGAAGCATTATGATATAAGAATAGGGGAAAAATGAGAATGAAATTAAGAAAATGAACGGAATTGATCTTTGAAGATAATTTGGCATGTCAGAAAAAACCATCTTATTTAAACTCAACCTTGATTAGTTGGTAAGACCAGTAAACTGGCGAGCCAATCCCCCTTTTGTTCCGGTCAAAAAAATTATGGATAGGATCAAATCGGGTTGAATTTTTATATTTCTTTTCCTATTGCTGAGTTCGAAACAATATATTTAAGTTAAAAAGGAAAAAAAAAACAAGGAGAAAATAACAGTATCATAATTGTGCTTTAATAACTATATTTTGTTAAGATTAAGTGTGATTTATATATAAATGTTCCTTCTTTAAATATTACTCTTTTTAAGTTTTATATATGAACTTTTTTATACATTTTAATTTTAATTATGATTGGGGCTAAAACTTGGAGGTTCAATGCCGTATAATTTTCAGTTCCTTGAAAAGCAAAAGGGAATCTTAATATAATAGTTACCCCTGACCATCTCACAGAGAGACGTGGCTGACTGTTTGAAAATGACTTCTTCCCTACTTTATCCCTATTTTAAGAATTTAAAGAAACACTTAATCAGGCTTCAAATCTTTTCCTAGTAAATTATAGCGGGCGCAACAATGAAAACAATTAATTAATGAATCATCATGTGACTTGTATATGTAGAACCATCAATTCTTTTTAGGAAGTGCTCTACACAAGGGACCAAGGCGAAGGAAGTGCAAGTATTGGGTGGCACTAGAAGTTAGTGTTCGCTCATAAACTAAACTCACGATACGTCCACGCAAGAGTGGGCAAAAACAGCTAAATATTTTGCACTAAAGTTAACCTCTCAATATGTGACGTGACTCAACAAACCAATTCTTGTTCAACGAATCCACTCTTAGCGTCCCTCTTTTTCCTTCTCATTTCCAAAGCCAATTATAAACTCATTAGAACAAGAATAAGAATCTGAATAATCCCTGAACTCGGCTGCAATTCTCAAGCAAGTTCCAGGTTTAGATGCAGACAAATTTACCAATTTCAAGTCCTAGATAACATTTCATAAGAGGATACTAACACTCTAATAAGGAAAATTTGGATTTTCCTTCACACTTACTTGTGCTGGGAGCACAAACGTGGACGCCCTAAGAGTCATACAACTTAACAGCCTCTGCTGTTCTCTTTTAGTCGCAAGAAATAAATGATGAGGGGAAGGGTGATGATGGTTCAGAATCCCCCAACTCTGCGTTACCTTCTGAAGATGGGATTAATGTTGGTTACGACATTTTAAATATCAAGACACTAAACTGGCACTTTCCCACTCAACAGTGTCAATGCTTCTAGCTGTGATCTTGTCTCACTTGGCTTCAGAAATGATTAAAATCCTAATGCATTCCTTATCGTTATCACGTTATGATAGCATACCTATTGACATGTAGCGTGTTCCAGACAGGACCAAGGGCTATAACTCCATTTTTGCTTAACACGTAATATGCTGCTTCGGTGGATGCATCATGTTTCATGCATCACCTGCTTCACAGTGACAGATGAGCAAGATGCAATGCAACATCGATTTATGGCGCAGATGATCACAGAAATCTAAAATAAGAATAAATAGCAGTTGCAACATTCATATGCATAAGAAGCCTGTGCTTTTAATGGATGTGAAAAAGAAGGAAAGAAAATTAAGGGCTGTTTGTTTTCTGTTTTTAAAATCTGTTTCCATTTTTGAAAACAAATTTAAAAATCTGTTTGGATAATTGCTTTTTATTTAATTGTTTTCAAAACTTTTTTTATTTTTTGTTTTAAAAAACAAGAAAAATTTTTATTTTTCTTGTTTTTAACTGCCTATAACCATCACTATCAATCCATTTTTTAATTTTAAAACTATTTTCTAATTGATATAATCAAATGAATTTTCGTTTTATTTTGTTTTAAAAATAATTTTAAAAACTATATTACAAAACAGTTTTTAAAAATAAAAAATGAGAACAGAAATCAAACAGGCCCTACAAACCTTAGCTCATACTTAAACTAACATGAACTCCTATCCTGGTTGAAAATTGAAATAGAAATGTATCAAGCATATATTACAATGTGATGGAGCAGAGCATCAGTTCTTTGCTATCAGATTAATCAGAGGAGGATATGTTTGGATAGGGCCTTTGACATTCAAAAAGTCCTAGTAGCACATCATCTGATCTGAAAACAACTTGTGTTTGGGTATTTATTATGCGGATTTAAAAGTTCATTTTGCAAACACAGCCAAGGTTAGCTTTTTACTTATGAAATGTGGGTTAAAGCCAATTACGGTAGATTCCCACTTGTAGATTCAATTTACCGAACTGATTTAAGAAAAAATATATCCAAACATAAATGAACTTCTAACAAATAGACTTTCTGACAAATTAACTTTTAGCAAATGGACTTGCCAAACTAAAAACCAAACAAACACGAGAGAAACAGAAGAAATAGAAGCAGACAAAATCAACCAAAAAAGCAGACAACAGAAAATAGAAAGAGACAACATGATTGAGATGAAGAAAAAGAGATGTAGGTAAAAACAAAGAACAGACAGAGAAGCCGAGCACAAACCTGATGAGAATTGATAGGAGGAAGGCTGTGAACTGAGGGGCTGCGAAACTGGGTAAGTCTGACAACTCTGAGGCGGAAATGAGCTACTGAAGGAATGAATTTCATCAACTATTCACATGCCGAAATATGGGGCCCACAATGTGCACCACCAGTGGACACGCCCGGCATGGACTGTGGTCATGGAAGGCTTCATCATGAAGGGACTGCATCAACTCTTCGTCATCCTTCTTTTATCAGGCTGCCCCATGCGCAAGCCTAAGAAATCCACCTGGCTTGAACCTGGTGAGGCTGCATGAGCAGCTTTTGATGACACGGGTACACCAGTCTTGACACAGTCGCAATTTCTTGATTTAGAAAAAAGCCAAATCCTTGACTGGTGTTCTCTTGAAACATATAATAAAAAGTTATGGATCACAGACACTCAAAAGCTGCTAGTGAATGTGTCCTAAAAGCATGGAAGTATCAAACAGGATATAACACTTCAATCTTCATTGAAGTTCAAGCGTTTACTAGATCCTTTTTATCTCTAGAGACATGTTTTTCACTAGCAATAAATTGTGTGTACATTCCAGTAAATATCAAGAATAAATTCTGAGAAAAAGCAATCGCACTATCCATTGACATGAAATTACGAATTCAAGACCACAACACAAAAAAAAAAAGTTTTACATAACTCAGAGTTCAAGTTACAAGATTGATATCAAAGAATGTTACACCCAAAAAATAAAAATATACCCTCGTTCACCAACAATGAAAAGCCAATTAGCTATTACCTACGTGATGACAAATCAGTTGCACATATAAATTCCATTCTCAAATCTGTGTTTAACCTCATAAAAATCTGTCTTACCCTCAGAAGCAGGTCTTAGACAAACCCCAGATAATGACTGCATTCCTTCAACGGAAAATTTCACATAGCCAACCACCTCAATTTCTTCATCCTCTTCAGTTGAGTCTACTGGCATCCTTGCTCTCAACCGACCAGGAGCACCTTTGAGTGGAATCTCTTGCACATGCCATTTAACTTCTTTTTCAGACCTATTCAACACAGCCTTTGGTGAAACTTTCAACAATGTTGGGTCAACTGGTAATTTCAGAATGAATGTGACATCTCTCATGGGTGCGAGCAAATTAGGGTTTGAAGCATATTGTATCATCACAGAAAGTAAACTACCAGTATGGCGTTTTAAAAGTCGAACCCTCAAAGGCAATGGCGTCAACCTGGGCAGCAAACTGTACTTGATTATTGGAAGAGGCTCATCTGAGGCTGCAGTCCTCACATGAAACAAACCATTGCCAAGGGAGCTGACACGAGAATTTTGTATAACAAATCTTTTAACTGCACTTGTCCCCTCAACTCGAAATGAGAATTCAGTTTCCTTATCACCAGAAGTTTTAGGAGGCAAAGTTCTAAGGTATACAACACCCATTAATCCTACCCTTGCAAGTAATGACTCTCTGAACTCTGCACTAATCTGTTCAGAGATATACATCTCAGGACCCTTCATTTCCGTTTTCTTTACCAATAAATTTTCAAGATTGCCTGCTGCTCCACCTTCCGCTGGTGCTTTAACGGCAACATCTGGTCCGGTCTGTAACAATTCAAGTCCACCAAGCCCTTGGGGTTTTGGAGCCCTCTTCGTGCCAACGAACTCTGATGGATCAAGCCCACCTCCCCAAGCGTCGCTGAAGGATTCAAAAGCTTCTCCTAGAGTTGCTTGTTCATTGCTAAATTCGACCCCACCATAATTTCCTTCAAATCCCTCCACATTGATATGGGTAGACTGGGTCGCCTCTGGAGGAGGCAATGTCGTGACCTCAAGCCCCGCCAATGCTGTCGTCAAATCAGTAGCTGAAGGATCCTTAGTCTTCTTAAAGCCACCCACCAGCTCTGGGGGTTTATTGATCGCATCGCTTGCAGCAAATGGATCATTTTCCGTGGGCGATTCTTCTGGCTTCGTCTGCTGCTGCTCATCCTGCTGCTCACTTGCCACTGGAGCAAGGGTAGCAGCGACTTCATCTCCAGCTGCAAGTGTCTCAGGCGGTAACTCAAACCGAGCTTTGGAGAACGCATCAATGCCCGTTTGCTGCTCGATCGAATGCACCTCAGCAGCAGTCCAAGTATCAGCACCGCGGATCTTGTTCTCGGAGTCAATCGCCGAGTGAACCATCTTCGCAATGCTATCACCGTGCAACGACGCCAGCATTGCAGCAAGTCGGATGTTACTGACGCCCCTAAGAACAATATCCAAAGCCATGTAGACCTCCGCATACTTCTTACTAAGTTTTTCGGGAGTAACATCCACACCACGGCAAGCAGTAACGATGACACTAACAGCTTGGTTCACAATATTTATACACTCAAATACGTTTACTGTATTGTCGTGATCGGCAACAGTTACACCAAGCACATAAATTCCATTCACTAACCGATATACGACGCGGTAACGACTTTCTACGCCGACAATAACTTGACCACTGGAGGCAGCGAGCGGATCGTCACCGATGGACTCGGCGGCGTAGGCGTCATCACCGAAGGGTTGGGAATTCTTGTTAGAAGCCAAGGCGCGACGGGTTTGGCGGAAAGCAGAGAGGGCTCCAAGGGCTCGAGCAGGTGGGAACCACTCGCGGGTCTGGAGCAGGATGTCGGATCCGTTGGAAATTTGTAAAGAAAGGGCTAAACAAGACATGGCCGGCGACCAGATTCCGATCTACAAGGGCGAAAGATCCAGCTTGCGATGGATCAGAGTGAAAATCTGGATACTTTGTGCATGAAGAAATGGAAAATAATCCGGAGTTAGATCTCAGAGCAGAACACAATTGAAATCTTTAGAAAGCTATTAAACAGAAAACGGAATCTCCAAGCAGCAATTTCTTGGATTGAAAAATTGTGCAAGAGACGAGACGAGAGTTCGATTGGGGATTGGGTGAGAACGTCGAAGAAACCTGCCTAGAGACTCCCCTTTTTCTTTTTTTCTCCACATTTGCCTTTTCAGATTGGGCAGTGTAGTGTAGAGTTATTGTTCGTCAGTGCGGCCCAAAATATTTGGCCCAAAAGTATGCCTCAAGTATAATTTGGGTGCACTTGGCTTCTTCACTTTTTACATTTAAAAGATTACTTTTCACTTTGAAGAAGTTAAATATTATTTAAAAATTATTTATGATATAAAACTAGCTTCTCAGATGTGCTTTTTAAATGGGTTGAAACGAGAAATTTGAAAAGCTCATATGAGTAGCTTTTGAAAAATTAGTTGAAGGAAGATGCATTATTAATGATGCCTATTATTTTAAAATGACCATGATACCTCTTCCCTCATGTTTGTCTTTTCCTCTTGCTCGAGCTCATGTGCATGTTTTAGAACCCATCTTCGTTCTCTCTTCTCTGTGTGTTACTCGTCTCATCCTCCTTGCTTTGTCGTTAGTCCACCGTCTCTCCTCCATATCTTCAGTGACTCTCATCCTTCTCTCCTCCGTCTCTCCCCCGCCATCTAGTCACATATCTAACTTCATCCATTCTTCCTTCCCCGAGCTTGTGATCTCATTTCGTTGTCCTTCCCCGCCATTCTAATGGCCATTTTTTCATTTGTAGCTCACGAATTGAGCTTGGTTTGGCTCTTGGATGACATTGTGAAGCTGACAGAAATGAAAACACCTGGGACCTATTGAACTAAACTCGGAGCTCAGAACTGAACTTGGACACTCTAACCTCCTTTTTGATCTTCTCTTCCATCTAAAGGTATGATATCGTCTAACCATTCTTTGCTAGATCCAGAAATGGTGGTCCTTTATTTTGGATGAATATATGGCCTATGTCTTCGATCAGTGGTCTTATGATTTTTTTCTCTAGATTAGGTTATGCTCTATTTTTTTTTCATTGAAGGTAGTTCTGCTCTGTTTCACCCATTTCTTCTACTTGCATTACTAATTCAAAACTTGAGAGCTTCTAAGAGAATCTGAACATTGCAAATCCGAACATTGAAGAAGCTAGTTCTGCTCTATGTGTATGTTTTGAACTTTTTTTATACTCAATGAATAGGAACCGAAACATTGTGAATTTGAACATTGGTAGCTTAATTCTGTTTTCAGCTCTTGCATTATTTAGTTTAGCTTTGTGTGTATGTTTCTAAGTTTTCTTATAATCAATGACTGATTAATTTTGAGTTTTGATCTCTTCTCTTAAGAATGTGTGTGTTTTAAAGTTTTCTTGTGTTCAATTAATGGTGAATTATTTTGAGTTTTGATCGCTCTCTCGAAAATGTGTGATTGTGTGCGTGTTTTTAAGATTTCTTGCACTCAATCAATGTCAAATTCTGTGTGTTTATGTGTGTATTTTTAAATCTTCTTTTGCTCAAACCAATGTTGAACTATGGGTTTTGATCTAGTTTCATAAATGAATATTAGATGGTTTTACTTAATTAATTAATAGTTGCTTTGTTTCCTGTTAAATGTGGGTTGATATATAGGTCTAATTTATGTTAATTAATTATTGAAAATATAATATTTCAATAGTAAATATGAGTAAAGAGAAAGTATTATGGACTACTGAAGAGATTGAACTGTTAATCAAATTAACTCTTTAATAAGTTAAAAAAATGAGTGTAAAGGCTCTACCTTATGAAAGGAAGGTTGGGAAGCGCTAATGCAACAGTTTAATGCTTTGAGCTTTAGAAGCTATGATAAAAAGCAGTTGAAGAACAAATGGGATAATTTGAGGAAAAATTGAAATATATGGGACAAACTGCTAAATAAAAAGATCGGCTTGGGATGTGATAGTGAAAAGAATATTGTATCAGCACAGAATGAGTGGTGGAATCAAAAGATTAAGGTATACAATTATATATGGCATGCTATACATTTGATGCTTTATTTTATAAATATATTGAACTCAGTTCTTGTAAATGTACAGGAGAATCCTGAGTACAGAAAATTCAGACATAAACCACTTTTAAATGTATAAGAATTGACACAGTTGTTCCAGCCAGTTGCAGCACGAGGCACTTTCATGTGGACACCTATGGCTGATAACCCGTAAGATGTGTATAGGCCTCAATTATATTTGACCAAAAGATCAAGAGACAGTAATGACGTAAGAAACGTTAGTGGAGGAGCTCTCCCAAAAATTGGACAAGTCAACTTGAACCATGCATACAATGGTGGTACTAATTTGAGGAGCAAGAGAAAAAGAGGTGAAAGTGGTCAAAATAAGAAAGGAAAATGTCTTGCAACTATGATAGTTAATTCAGTGAGTCGATTGGTGTCCATACAAAAGGATAAGGTGTCAACACTGAAGTCAATTCTTAATTCTATGGAGGGTGAAACAAAACCAATTGATCAAAATGTGGTGGATGTTACAAAAAAACTTTATAGAATCGAGGAGATTACTTGTGATGAGGCGCTTCTTGGATAGTGTTGTGGCCTTGCTAGATAAGACTACAAGGGACATGTATATTGGGCTTAGGGATAATAGAAGAGCATTAGTGGCCTATTTGAAGTGCTTGGGCAAAAAAGCAAATTAGATTAATCCTAGCTTGCCTTCTCAATGTTTAAAATCTAGCTAGTACTGTTTATGTTGTTAACTTGTTTTAAAACTGATTGTGTTATTTGACTCTTGTTTTATGTGCTTTTAATGTCAAGTCATGAACAATGGTGTAATTGTTGTTTAATTATGCTATACAGTTTTTATGGATAAAAGTACACAATCTTGCTTATTACAACTACTTGTACATGTGGAAGACGATGAGGTTGAGGCTATTACTGCAATAGTAGCTAATTACTCAACAACTTTATTGAAAGAGCCTTATAGAACCAATTCACAATGAGGTCATGCAAGGGTGCAAGAAATTTTGCAAAAGCATCTTCAGCATTGTTATGACATATTTCACATGGAAAAAGATGTTTTTCTTCAACTTTGTGATGAACTGGTGCAACATGATTTGCATTCAACTAGAAGAATAGGAATTCATGAAATGGTCGGTATGTTCCTAAATATTATTGGACATAGGGTGGGGAATAGGATAGAAAAGAATGATTTCAACATTCAGCAGAAACTGTTCACATACATTTTAGAAATATATTGCATGCTTGTGAGACGCTAGCAAAGGAATATATCCAACCAAAAGATTGCACTTTTCAAAATATTCATCTAAAAATTTTAAGTGATCTGCAATATTGGCCATTCTTTAAAGATGTCATAGAAGCAATTGATGGCACACATATCCCATGCGTGGTTAGTGTTGAAGAGCAGGGGAAATATATTAAAAGAAAAGGTATTCCAACACAAAATATAATGGCTGCATGTAATTGAGATATGTGCTTCACTTACGTCATGGCTGGATAGGAAGGGACTACCCACGATGCCCGTTGTAACATCCCAATATAAATTTTAATAGTTAATTTGGGTTAATAGAAAATTTAAAAAAAATAATTTTAAAAAAAAATAATAAAATAATATTATTAAATTATTATTATAATAATAAAAAAAGGTGTGAAAACAAGAAAGAAAGGAAGAAGAAGAAGAAAACGAATTTGCTTCATCCGCCGCCTCAACAGTAACAATAATAAAATAATAATAAAAAAAAGAAGAAGAAGAGAGAGAAAATAATTAAAAAATGTGGGACCCACTGAATTTTTATAAAAACTCACCTTCCTTCATTTCCTCATTCATTCCTGCGCGCGAGCTGAGGCGGAGAGAACGCGAGTCACCGGTGCGAAATATCTAAATTTTTAAGGTAAGAGTTTTTAATAGGATATTTAGGGTGTGATTTTAAGCTTTTCAAGACTAAGTAAGTGTTCTAAAAATTTTTCTTAGTCATCCTTCTTCTTTAGTTTCTGAGTTTGTAGTGGTAGAAAATTTAAGATCTGGAAGAGGGATAAATTTATGTTGAATAAATATGATTTTTGAGGTTGTCAGTAGTATAATAAATGTTATAGAGTATAAATTTGTTAATGATCTTTGAATTTATGGCTTATGGATCAAATTCTAAACTAGATCTGAAAATATATGTTGATTTATTGAGGTTTAGATGATTATTTGGGATGAGAAATGAATTATTATGGTTATCGGATTATGATTCTAAGCTAGAGACTTAATTTTTAATTTTTGGGTATTTTAGGTACGAATTTATAAAATAAAAAGAAAATTTTGATAATAGAAATTAGTTTAAAATTTGATTTTTAGATTATCAATGTTTATTGATAATTAAAAGAGGAGTTAAAAATTATACTTAATAGTATTAACTATAGATTTGTATTAAGATTGAGATTAGGAATTATGTTATATTTTTAATTCTATTATTAGAATTATTTTATTAGTTTCAAAAATTGAAACTAATATTTATAAATAATATGTTATTTGTAGATTGTATTATTGGTGAAGATTGTGGTGAGAGAGAAATTTTAAGGAATAATTTATTGAAAAAGCCACAAGGTAACCATGCTTTTAATTTGTGATTTGTGTTACTTCATGTTAATTGGGTGATTATTGAGAAAATTATAAATTTTGTAATATTATATAATTGTGCAATATTATTATGAATTTATTTGATTATTGTGGGAGGGGTTGGGAGACTTGTTATTGTTGTTATATTTATGTGCCACGTGGTACGCCCCTATTGGAGCTCAATAGGTGGTTTGTAAGGGCTCGGGCTAATCTACCTTTGGCCGGGTGATTTAGCACCGAGTGAGGGCTACGGCTCGAGGTTAATGGAGGGATATAAGGATGGTTGTTTGTGTTTATTGTAATATTTCTTATATTTGTTGAAATTATATTATTTTTAATTCTCACTTAGTAAGCACACACTTAACTGTTTGTATACACTATCATAAATTGGCTTTGGTTACTGGGACTTTTGAGTCTCATTATGTGGTTAACAATTTTCAGGAGAAGAGCCACGAGTGACACGTGGAGGAGTCCCAGAGGCTTAGTGGTATAGATCCACTGTCTCTTTTGGGTATTTAATTTATGATTTATA